CACATCCCTGCCGCCCAGCGGCGGCCTGTGAATCTAAGTCCGAGGGTGGGCAGGCTGCCCAGACCGGCTGAGCCCAGGTCCACTCAGAGCCTCTCCGGATGGGACACCAGATGGGCCCGATGCTGTGCCCAAAAGCAAAGGGGCAGGCCCGAGGGTCCACGAGGCAACATTAAGGGGCTCCTGGTCCCTCCCACTGCAGGTCTGCTTTCATTTGTGAGCTTAGTAACTCTTTAGTTTTCCTGTGCCCTGCACCCGCACCCCTCACCTCATCTATCAGCCTGTCCTACTGTGGTGGCTTGCATGTTGCTGTGATGCTGGACGATATGCCACCAGTATTTCAAACACTAGCAGGGCCACGCATGGTGGACAGGTTTCAGTGGCGTGCCAGATTAAGACTAGGAGGAAAGGCCTGGTGATGTATTTCAGAAGGCCAGCCAATGGAAACCTCGCGGATCACAACAGAACATTATCTGCTGTGGTGCTGGAAGATGAACGCGCTAGGGTGGAAGTCACTCGAAGTACAGAGGCCACAACAATGGACTCGAGCAGACCAAGGAATCATGAAGATGGCGCAGGCCAAGCAGGCTTCGTTCTATTGTACGTGGGGCCGCGCTGACTCAACCGCAACTCACATCAACAGTTTTCCTGAACGTACAACTGGAATATAAAGGACATATTTTTTAAATTAACAGACACTAAAATCGAGCAACTCTAATTGCTGCTCACATGGATGCTGTTGGGGTGGCCTCAAACAAGAATTTAAGATTGGTGTGGCTCACGGAGCCGTGAAGGAGGAGTTTTGCTGGGACAACCCTCGGCATTTTTACCTTTACATATTCTTGGGAAGCAAAAGAGCTGCTTGTTTCTATATAAACCAGAAGCAAACAAACTTGTTGCCGTCAAGTCCATTCTGACTCATAGCGACCCTGTAGCACAGAGTAGAACTGCCCCATTGGGTTTCCAAGGCTGTAAATCATCACGAAGCCGACTGCCACATCTTTCGGATGGGTTCCAGCCTCCCACCTTTCAGGTAGCAGCTGAGCGCTTCAATCCCCGTGCCACCAGGGCTCTTCTTTTTTCTACATAATTATCGCAAAATATTTAATCTTCAGGCGCTGCCAACAAGTGCTCATAGTGATTAGCTATCAACATACCAAAACAAAGTCTCGTGTTTTCAGAAGGATCTCCCACCAAATGTCCCGACCCCTCACGGACCATGGGGCCCAGTCTGGCTTCAGAAGGAATCCCGTTTCCTTCAGGGAGAGGTACCTAAGCCCTCCTGGTGTGGACTGTGACCACCGGGGCAGCCATCTCGTGCTGTGACACAAACATGGGCGCCTTAACTGCCCAGGCTGGGGACGGCCAGTCCTCAGGAGAGGGAGCTCAGCTGAAGCAGGTGTCCCTGCAGACTACAATGGCCTCACGCCCTGGGCCGGTCAGAGTCGGCCGGGAGAGACCCAGGACGGGGTTCAGTTCAGCCGGCCAAGCCTTGCATCCTCTTTCGGTAAAAAGTACAAAGAGCAAGAGAAGGAGGGAGAGGAGGAGGGAGGGCAGGATGAGGAAGAGGAGAAGGAAGAGGAAGGGGAGGAGGAGGGGGGAGAAAGAGGAGGAAAGAGGAGGAAGAGGAGCGGGAGGAGGGAGAGGAGGAGGGGGAGGAGGGGGAGGAGGGGGAGGAGGAGGGGGAGGAGGGGGAGGAGAAAGGTCCAAAGGAGGAGGCAGAGGAGGAGGGCCCCTTCCCCAGGAAGAGAGGGTGAGGAGGTCACCCCCCCATCCCTCCACCCCCAGGCTGTGTGGGAAGGCCCCCAGCCCCCAGCCGTCTGCCGCCTAAGCAGCCTCCGCCCAGCTCTGCCTCAGGAAGATTCCTCACTGTTTCCTTTGCAGCGAGAGGAAATTAGCGCTCAAAGTGGAGGCTGGTTTAAATGCACTTTCTTTCCTAGATGAGAAGGGGGGAAACAGTTTTACAGGCGCTATTAGAAAGGGACTGGTTGAGCCACAGTAAAAAATATCCGCCCTTCTTCCAACCAAAACACCCTGGAGGGATTACAGTAATTGGCTTTGGAAATCGGAAACGGAAAATGCAGAAACCATCTCCCCACCCCCAGGTCCGCCCCCACCGCACCGAGACCCCTTCCAGCAGTCAGTGCAGCCTGGAGACCCCAGACATGCTGGCAGGACCCCACCTGGGGTGGGAGTCACGGCAGGAAACAGCACCCGCCCCCAGACGACATGGTTTATCAGACTGCAACATGGAGGGTGTGCCCCCCACCGCTTGTCGCCTACGTGCCGTGCCGTACTGGGAGGTGGGGGCATCAGCTCGTCTGCAGCCACCCTCTGCTCAAGGATCATGAGGTTTTCATCTTTCGCCCCCTCCCCTTTCTCACTCCACGTACCCCAGCTGGCACATCTGGCACACAGGGCCTTGCTGTGTGCCAGATGTGCCAGCTGGGGTACGTGGAGTGAGAAGGCCTGGTCCCCAGGGCCCGGCCTCCAGGGAGAAGAAACAGCACAGCTCAGGGCAGCACAAAAAGGGGAGGCATGAGAGTCCATCCACACAGCAGGCCCCCCAGCCACGGTGCTTTCCCCTCACCCTGTCACAGTCCCCCTCCCTGGCCACAGTCCCCCTAACCACGGTCCCCCTGGCCATGGTCCCCCTGACCACAGTCCCACTGGCCACGGTCTCCCAGCCACGGTGCTCTCCCCTCAGCCTATCACAGTCCCCTTCTCTGGCCACAGTTCCCCTCCCTGACCAAGGTCCCCCTCCCTGACCACGGTCCCCCTGGCCACAGTCCCCCTCCCTGACCACAGTTCCCCTGGCCACAGTCCCCCTCCCTGGCCACTGTCCCCCTGGCCACGGTCCCCCTGACCATGGTCCCCTGACCATCGTTCCTGGCTACTGTCTCCAGGCATCCTCCTTGATTTACACATCGGCCGTTCCCACCCAAGTCCCAGGCATTTGCGGGAACATCACTTTCTTGGGGTGCTCCGTGGAGATCTGTGCTGGATTCCCAGTTCCCATCATTGGTAGGGATTCTTGCGTTCTGCACACTCATCTGCCATCCTTAGAAAGCGACAGTGAGATCCAGTGCCACGAGCCTACTGAGCACCGTCCCCAAATCGTTCACTACAGATTAGTAAGGAAGCACAAGTAAGCCCATGCTTACCTTGCTTACTGGGTAATCCGCCCCTGTCAGGGATCGTAAATTTGAAAAGAGGCTTTGATTCTGTAGGAAGGTGCTGTAGGGTTGGGAGACAAACAGATGCCAGCCACACCTAGAAGCAGAATCTTTGATGTGGTGAAAAAATGTGACCTGGTCCACTACAGAGGATCTGGTCAGCAAGGTGAGCACTGTGGTTACCTTGCCTGCTGAATCATCTGCCCCTACTCAGCTCCAACTCACGGCAACCTTACGTACAACAGAAGAAAACATTGTCCAATCCTATGCCATCTTCATGATCACTGGCGTATTTGAGCCCATTGCTGTGGCTGTTGGAGGGTCTCCCTCATTCTCACTGACCGTCTGCTAAACGTGATGTCCATTTCTGGAGACTGGTCTTTCCTGAAGCCACATCCACAGTGAGCAAGACAAAGTCTCACCATCCTTGCTTTTAAGAGCGTTCTGGTTGTACTTCTTAAAAGACTAATTTATTCGTTCTTTTGGCAGTCCATGCTATATTTCATATTCTTTGCCAACACCATAGTTCAAATGTATCAATTCTTCTTCCTTTTCCACTCTCCAATTTTTAGAAGCATATGAGGTGACTGAAAACACCGTGACTTGGGTCAGGTGAACCTTAGTCCTCGAGGTGACATCCTTCCTTTTTTAACACTTTAAAAAGTTCCGTTTTGTTTTGCAGCAGATTTGCCCAATGCAATACGTCGTTTGATTTCTTGACCACTGCTTCCCTGGGCTCGGTGTTGACCCAAGGTTAGCTCACCCCATTTTTGGGACACGGAAGCGCCGCGCTGGAAACCCTCTCAGGCCTCCTCGCCCTTCTTCATTTGCATTCCTTTTGCTGTAATAAAACTGTGATCATAAATACAGTGCTTTCCCGAGTTCCGTGAGTCACGTTACCAAACTGTCGAACAAGAGTAGTGGAGGCCAGTATGTCAGAAGTGAGGGGGGCTGGGGACCCCTGAGCTTATGACTGGTATCCTGAGGGTGTCGAGGGAAACCCCAAATTTGTAGCCAGTAGGTCAGAAGTGAAGATATTGGGGGGATGCCAAGTTTATGGCTGGCATCTGATGTCTTGGGCTGACTTGGCACTCTGGAGGTCTGTACCCTTTAACTTGTGAGCTGCACCCAGCTCCAGGTTTAGGCTCAGAGGAAGAAGTGCTGCGTGTGCCGCTGATGTCAGAACAAAAGTGGACCAGAGGGGAACAGAATCAGAATGGATAACAGACTGATTTGGTGTCAGAAAAGTGGGATTGTATATCCTCACACCTTAAAAAGAGGAGAAGGGACACAGAGACAGACAGAGGGTGGACAGACGTGTGCTGATGGAGGCAGAGATTGGACGGATGCAGCTACAAGCCCAGGGACGTGAAGAATTCCCAGGACCTGCCAGAAGCTGGAAGAGGCAAGGAAGGTTCTGAGGGAAGAGCCTTCGGAGAGAGCACGGCCCTGCCAACATCCGGAACTCAGACTTCCGGCCTCCCGAGCTGCATGAGAAATTCCTGTCGTCGTAAGCCCCCTAGTCTGTGGTACCATGTCATGGCGGCCCCAGGAAGCCGACAGCACACTGACGTGAAAAAACACCCTAAATGCCACACGCAGAGAAGTGCCACCTGTTTGACCCGCCGTGTTCTGAGAAATGTACGCACTCGTTCAGGTTGGGTGAACCGTTAGGGGCTGCTCACCCATATGCATCCCCCCACAGGCCGGACAGCCAATGGGTCGGGAGGGGCCAGCATCAGCCTCTGACCGGGAGGCCTGCCCTGGCCACCCCCGTTTGGCACGCCTCGGGAGCTTTGACTAAGCACACGTGAGAGAACCAGGCTGCTGAGGCACCAGAGTCCACACCCCCCTCTCCCTCAGGCAGACAGGGCTGGCAGGGAGAGAGGAGGGCCCTCACAGTCCTGGCGGCTCACTCCCGGGTCTCATGGGTCCCCACTGGCCCCAAGGGCCCGAGTCTGCTCAGCCTTTGGGACGATGCAGCGAGTGAGTGTTGCAGAGTAGGGTGAGAAGTGCCCCGGGAAGCACGGTTGTAACTCTACCTGAGTTCAGTGTCAGGCAGAGCTGGGCCCTCACAGGAGTCACTGTGCCACACCCGTGTGACAAACTCCCCAGAAGCCCCTCCCAAGGGAGCAGGGAGCTCTTGGCTTGAGGGGTCCTGGGGTGTGTGGGCGGGGATTCAGCCATCCACATTGACCTAATATCCCCTTTCCTCAGCCCGGCAGGTATGTGCAGGGGTGTTCACCCAGGTCTGCCCCGTTTGGGCCCAGTAGCACGCCCCTGAGCTGGAGCAGGTTCTCTGCTCCAGGACGGAGGGCACCCTCCAAGTCCACTGGCCTCAGAGTCCACCACCCTCTGAGCCCATGCTCTGGGCTCCCGGGGCCTGAGCCCGACCCTGTGGTCCGGTGGCCTGAGCTGTCCATCCTCAGCCTAGCTTTCCCATGAGCTTCGGGCAGCGCCCGTGGCGGGCTGCCCTGGGATGGGGAGGCACTGCCCGGCCTCCAACTCCGGCCATGTTTGCTTGACAAGCAACTGACCCCAAAGCGAACGGAGACCCGTCCTCGAGCGCCCCCCTCTCCCCAGCCGCGGGGACATCAGCCGTGCCCTCTACTTCGCCCGTATGGGAGGTTAGGGACCCCTCCCCCTCCCCCCTACCCGCCACCCGCTCTCAGCCTAGAACGTGGAGGCCCTTCTCCAAGGCTCCCCAGGCTGAGATGTCAGCCGCGCCCCTAGTCCCCCCTGGGACGTCGAGGCTAGGGTGGGACAGCTATCCAACTCAGCCAGCTCATCCAGCGCCTTCTCAGTCCTGGGTCGGGCGCAGAAGGCGCGACTCTGGCGCGTTCCCCCAACCCCGCAAGCCATCCGTCCGTTCCCCATCGCCCCGGCCGGCCTACCTGCTTGTCCCGCGCGCTGGGCTCTGCGCCGCCGCCGCCCCCGCGCCGCTCCGCCTCCTCCGCGCCTTTGCGGCCGCTTGCGTACGCCGACACCACGAAGCTGTCCCCTGCGCCCGCCGGCGAGCGGACGCGCGGGAAAGGCACCGGGAGAGGGGGAGACGCGCTGTCAGCCCCGCTGGGCTGGCCCGGCTCCGTTCGGGGTCGCCAGGACGGGAGACCGCGCGCTCCAGGGACCCCGCGGCGGTGCCACCCCCCCCCGGGCCCGAGTCGCAGGGTCTCGCGCCGCTCACCTTCGGGGCTCTCTCTCCTCTTGCAGGCTGCGCGGGGCGGGGCGGGAGAGGAAGGACAGTGAGTGGCCGCGCCCGCCCTG